TCCATTTACCATTTACCATATGATGAATGAGATGTTTATGATGTTTCAAAGAGAGCACAATACCAGTTCCAACCACACTCCTGTATAAAATTAAAACTCCTTTGGCTCACACTTGCTAAAGTGATCTTCACTAATGTTTTGGGTATGTGTCGGGGTTAGATCACCTTTTTGGCACATTAAGCCTGCTTTTAGGTCACATTAGTCTGCTTTTTAGGCTAATTTATCCTGTGCTAGCTGGGGGCCAAGAAAGCAGCTGCCACTGTGTCAGAATATGATTCCAGAAGATTCCACTCAAGTAGCCGTTTCCTTGTGCCATCTGCTCGGCCTGCTTGAGTTTCTCTGTCTCCGATTCTAAATGTCCATCTGGCTCTCTCATACTGTTTCTTTGTCTCTCCCTCTCTCAAATGCAGTATGTGTCAGTATGGTAGCTCACTACTACAGTTTGCCTTATTGCATTTCTACACAGTGCTTGCTGGATTACAAGAATACAAAGAGGGGATTTTATGCTAAAAAGACAGTAACTTTTGAAGGATGCTCACTTGATTTGACTAATTAATATGGCAGAACATTAGAATGTATTTTTGCGCAAAACAAAAACTGTGGATTTTCTCCCCCAAAACTTATATTTAAAGTGCTTAAGGGAGGGGACTTTTAATGTCTGGTATAAAGAGGAGAAAGCAAAATAGTGTTCATGGTCTGACTGCAAAACCAAACAGCATACCTTAATAGAAGAAGTAAGTTAACTTAACTTTATCCTCTAAACACTGGAGTCACTCAATCACATGAATTAAATCTAACTGGGAAATGAACAGTTAAAGTAATAACTCAGTGGTTTAATTTAATTTGTGCAGTATTTTAAGTATTGATGATTGATGATGAATTCCAGTTTGTTCCACTGACTTATTTTCTTTAAGTTGACTTAATATCATTACAAAAATGTAAAAAACAAACCAGTAGGCTATTGTTGATAACTTAATTAGAGCAGTAACAATTAAATCAGTTGATTCCCAGAATGTATTGATTTTGATGATCGATTAATTGTAAATTGTTTTTATCTTATGTCAGCTGTTTCAACTGGTAATGTAAATGTAGAAAACTTAAGTTGTATAATTTGTATAAAGAAAATAAACTTAAGTTAGTCTTCTGACACATTCTGTTAACAAATTTAAATAAGTTTGGAGAAATGCTGCATATGCGTCTATGTAAATACGTCTACTAGTTTCAAGTTTAATTAACTGAAGGAAACTGTACTCAAATCGAAAAAAAGATTTTCATGCTTAAATTGTTTTAGTTAAAACACTTTAATGGTTTAAGTCAGTTTTAAATCACAAATACCTCCCCTATCAACCGTGAAGGAGAAACTACAGTGGTCGTGAAATGCACAAATAATGCCCATATCTAGAGCCAGTGTATAGTTTGTCCCCTCTGGGCTTTTGTAGAATCATGGCAGTTCTTGTGACTTGTGGCACACTGGAGTTCTAATGAAAGTGAAAAATATGTTGTTGTTTTTTTGAGTAATCCTGCTGAGAGACAAACAAACAAATGGCACTGAAACCAATTAGCACATACTCTACATTCATCTAATTTATGAGGAGGGGAGTTGATGTGATTAGCAAGATGCCAATTTTAGTGAGGTCAGTCATTTGCACTATAGGAAGGCACAGTTCTGTAATTGATTTACATACTGACACGTATGACGGAGGACACAAACATCATGGCATACTGAGGAAGCAGAGATAACATTAGTTATGCTGTTTACAATATAAGCAGATGGATGTTGATGAGGGCTCTGCAGTGTGCATTTGAATGATGTGTGTTGTTCATCTAACATACCTGTGGAGTTTCTGCGCGACATTCAGACAGGAAATATAAAACTCAGTGATGGTTTTACATAATATTGCACTGCAGGGGCGACAAAGACCCCAATTACCGGACCACATCTGGAGATGGCCTGGCTGCCACTGTGATCAAATCTCACCCAGGTGTAAATGCAATCTGCACAGTTTGGCCACATTCTCAGGAAAACAATCAACCTAGCATGTTGAAAGGTTACCTCCTCCTGCTATCTCCAGCTGCTTGTCAGAAAGCAACAGATGAGCTCCTCCTCTGCAGAGGAAAAATATGTAGAGCTTGCACAGTTTATTTTATAAAAATAACTTTTTGTCATTAATGCTGAGATTTTTACTGTCCTGACAGTAGTGCATGAGACAGATAATCTGTGAAAAAAATCCTCCTAATGGCATTTGCAAGAATCCACCGGGCCTGAATGGAAACAACCAATCAGAGCGACAGACAGTTGTTTGTATAGCTTCATTGTCAGGTCATCAAATATCAAACACTCTGGGTCCTGGGAATGAGACTCAACAATCAACTTCCTCCAACCCAAAGCATCTTTCTATTCTTCCTATACTTTCTCAACTCTGATTGTTTTTTTTCGTACAGACCTGGTGGATTCTTGCAAATACCATTAGGAGCACTAGGAGGAGCCAGAGGAACCTGACTGTCTCACACATTATCTGTCTCATGTACTACTGTGAGGATATAGTGAAAGTTTCAGTAAATATGATCCTATGAATGTTTTTATAAAAGTTGCCTACTGCAACTTTAACTGCAGTGAAACCTCTGGAGAAGAGTTTGATCTCCGCAGTGGCCGTGATCCTCACTGAAGCACAAGCTCATGTTTCTCACTAAACTGCAAGTGCAACTTATCAAAAAGAGTTCAATGCAACTTCAATGCTGTCTTAAGAATATTGCATGATGGCAAAAAATTGGTTGATGGTGATGGTGCAAGGCTGAATTGAGGCTTTTTTTTTTCTAACAAAAACGTTGCGCTGTTTAGAAAAATATTTCAAAAGGGGGACTTAATGAGAAAGATTTATGAAACACTGGTTTTAATGGATCTGATATCAGGCCAAAAATCCTAAAACCTCTACAGGTATTGGAACCTAATTGTGAACTGGATTAAATTTCAAAACAGCAGTAAGCTAATAAATCTAGGGACTGGTAGAACTATTGGAGGATGTATCAAAAGCAGGGCCTCTACCTTTAAGGTATAAAAGAATGGATGGATTTAAGAACCCAGGTAATCTTACTGTACGTGCATTCTGAGGTAACTCTTAATTTGCTGGATTGTTGGAGTTGACTACAGTATCTTCCTTAACAATGTATATTAACAAAAAATGATGACAGTAAATTACTTCAGTGATGACAAAGGCCCAGTTTGCACCGTCTCCTCCACTTACCACTTGCAGTTTGACCTGGATACACAGGCTCTTCTTCTTGACGGCAGCCACGCCTGTGGTGAAGGTCTTCCTCATGCTGGTGGCTCGTCGCAGGGCGAGCTGGGAGCTGCCCTCCAGACCAGCAATGGATCCCGACAATACTGTGGCCCCACTGGCCCGGCCCATAAACAGCCCACTGATGTTCTTCCTGTGGTTGAAGAAGAATGGGTTGCATTTGTATGCACGCACATGACTGATAGCACATTTTCCTTTCTCACTGCATCAGCTGGTGATTGATACTACAATATACAGGGAGCTAATCTGACTGCATTAGTGGCATATTCCACTGTTTGAAGACCCATATGTTGGCGGGCTCTCTCCCTGCTTCATTTGGCTCACTGTGTTGCCTGCTGCTCTCAAACTGTGGATCGCACTTTTTTCTAAATCCTTATGAATACTGGAGGTCTGAATTTGATTTGGATTAGTTTCTATTTACAACTAAACATGGGTATTGTAAAAAAGATCAAGAAGGCAGATCATGTATTAATTTTGCATTAATGTAACATGACAAACAACGATTCTTACATTCAGGTGATTATACACTAATGATATGACATACTAATTATATGTGTATTAAACCTAAAGCACAGTAGTATTTATTATTAAGTTAAAAAGGGCTTAGATAGTTGTAGCTGTGGCAGAGTAAGCCTGTGAGAGCCGGTTGCCCACAACCTCTTGGATTCCTAGACCTTTAAGTTTTATGTCTGTCAGGACGTATTTTGTGAAATCCTAATACAGCGTTGTTCAACCAAAAATATTATACTAATAATAAAAATGCTACTCATACTAATAATACTACTGCTACTAATGCTAATAATACTACTGCTACTCATACTAATAATACTACTGCTACTAATGCTAATAATACTACTGCTACTTATATTAATAACACTACTGCTACACATATTAATAATACTACTGCTACTGCTAATACTACTGCTACTGCTAATAATACTACTGCTACTCATATTGATAATATTACTGCTACTCATGCTAATAATACTACTATAATAATAATAACAATAACAATAACAACAACAATAATAATAATAATAATGTAATACTGTGAAATTAATATTTTCCGAGACAGTTATTGTACTTTAGAAATCTCATAGCATTGCTACACTACTGCATTTTTTAAGATCATTTTCCGTCACATTCGACGTCGATCAGCATGAGGCTTTTCAAATGAAGCGAACACGCCCCAACCTGTGACTAAGAACTAAAAGGTTTGGATTTCTTGCTTGAACTGTTCCATTGCTACCACAGACTCTATTAAACTGGATGTTGTGTGTGTTGTGTGAATGGTCTTACTTCTGGGAATCCTGCAGCAGTGTGGCAGCATTCTGGGCAGCAGGGTTGTGCTTGGCGTGGCTCAGCCAGCCCTGAGCGTTGTACTCCACCCAGTCTGTCCCGTGGCTGTGGCCCAGCAGGAAGAGGTGGGGCTTCTCTCCTCGCAGCAGCAGACTGGCTCCTGCAGGGGAAATATTCCCATTATTCTCCCACTCCCCATGTCAGTGTGTGCTCAGTGCTGTCTGTTGTTCCTGCAACCTCCAGGAACCTTCTACTGATTGCTTTAGCAGGCAGTAACAGGTTGAGTGCTCACCTTTGTTTTCTCCCTGTGCAGAGCCGTAGTAGCTGAAGAGTCTCTCCAGCATGGTTTCTTCTGAACCTCCAGGCTGGACTGCCTCCTCCTCCATCAGCCACAGAAGGCCTCGAGCCTCATCCGTCCTGGCCAGAGTACGCACCTGTGATGGAAACCAACAGGACGGAAAAACTCTGAGGTCACAGGAAGATGTGTAGAGAAGTCTTTATTCACCACATCACAATGTGCAGGTACTGAGCTCCCCAAATATCAAGCAAAACGTAAACAGAACATAGTCAAATACATTTAAAAACAACATATGGCTAACTGAATTTTACCGCTTTTCCAATGTCAGACGGTTTCTATTTTTTAAAATGCTATACTATAGATGATATTTACGTCTGTGACTTTTTTGGGTTTTAGCTGCTCATGGTTCTGGAGTTAATTAAGGGAAACTTTGGTATTTTTCAACCTATTTTACTATGTTTTTGTGTCTAAGTGACTAATGGGAACCACATTTTTAGGGCCCAAGCACAAATCGTGCGAAGGCCCTATTGTATTTGAAGGAATTATTTTTCTCGTTTTTAGGGCCCGAGCACTGAACGTGTGAAGGCCCTACTGTAATTGAAGGAATTC